ATAGCTGACATAGAAAAGAGTTTGGAAAAAACTTTTTTTTTATCATGATATGTTTTTCTTGAACTAACTGGGAAATACTTTGTGATCGGAATATAGTTCGAATATTATTTAGAAAATATTGTTTTGATTTTGGTCGGGATCATATGGACTTCTATATGATACTATATGATATACCAAATGCTTTTGCGTAATTTGGTTAGATGAGGGTATTTAAGCTTATTTTAATGTACAATTCCTTGTCTGTTTTTCCATTTTATGTGTTATTTAATTAAGTCAGGATATTTGGGCCTCACCACAATTTAATAATGTTAGGGTATCTAAGCGTCGGCTACTCGTATTAAAGGGTTTTTTATCTTCGACTAATTGTATTTGTAATGCATCTTCATTATTTCCATTAGATAATTTTTAATTTTTTGCTAAACTTTATTAGTATAAGGGTATTTAAGCTTCGGCTAATCATATTTGAATGTATTCTTTTGTCTGCTTTTCCATTAATAATATTCCTTTTTTGCGAAATTTTATCATGCTAGGGTATTTCAGCTTCGACTTATTGTACTTGTATTATATATTTTCACAATTTCCATTTAATAATGTTCCATATTCAGCTTCATTTCATAATGTTAGGGTATTTCGGCATCGGCTCGGCTCGAATCGAATTTAAATTTTTTTATTTATTGTCTACTTTTCCATTTCATAATTTTCCATTTTTTGCGCATAGAATTTTGAACGCGAGAACTTTTCAGTTATTGTTTGTCGATTTTTTTTTTGTTGTTCTTTTCTTTGCTCCTCTTTTTGTCAGCCTCATTTAATGCGCTGCCCGCCGACGCAGCGGCAGCGGCAGCGACGTTGACGTCGACGTCGACGTCGCCGTCAACGCTGTGACTGGCGTCGTGTCTGCGATTTGAAATATTCCTATAAATGTTTTGGCCTCACGGCCCGCCGCAAAACAACAAATAAGCAAAACACAAAAAAACACAAAAAGAAACGACGATCAAATATATAAAACGTTATATATTCAATATATGTATCTTCGTATGTGTGTGTGTCCGTGTGTGTGTGTGTGTGTGTGCGTATAAGTGCGATATCTGTCTCTTGTCTATATGAAAAGAAATGTTAAATGTCTGAAACATGCGTACAAAATGCTAATGCAAAAGCAACAACAACAACAACAACAACAGCAACAACAACAACAACAACAACAACAACAACAACAACAACAACAGCAACAACAACAATAGAATGAAAAGTTTTGTAGACGCCCGCCGAATGGCAAAGCACAGAACAGAAAAATGCTTTTCCTTTGATTTATGTAGTTTTAGCGAGCGGCGTCAACGTCAACGTCAACGCTGACGTCGCAGTCGCAGTCGCAGTCAGCGACAGCAGCGCTGGCACACGCACACGCACAAATTGCAGCTGCAGCTCAAAATTTGAAGCTCAAGCTGAAAATTCGCCGCATCTAAAACTAAATGCAAGAAATTATAAAGAAATCAACAATTTGACATTGTTATGAATTATTTGCAATATAAATTATTATATTTTATGTATATATATATACATATATATTTATTTAAAGAATCCTCTTTAAGAAACGAGAAAGTAAGGATATCTTTGGCACGCCGAAGATTTAATACCCTGGCAGACATTTGCCCTGTGACTTTTCAGATATGTGAGCATGTTGAGTTTGATGAAAGTATCTCGGAAAACAGATCAGTTTTCCTTACAGAACTCAATTTGCGACCGATTCTTCTTCTTGTGCTGCTATATAATATAGTACGATCTTGATAGGATTTGACTCAGATGTAGGCAGCATAGTTTAAATATCTTTAATAGTCAAGATATCTTGAAAAACAATAGTGTCGTTTTAGAGAAGAACTTAATATTCAACCGATCGTTCCTATTGCACCTAGATGATATGAGGAGCATAGTGAAACTTATAGTTATAGTTGTTATAGTTGTTCGATCCGGCCGGTTCCGATATATTTCAAGACGATATTCTTAAAACTGAGAGATCGGCTTCAAACTTATTATTAAACCTTTTTCGTAACCCAACATAAAACACAAAAGATTCCGTGTCTCAGCGATTTTGGAAATTCCACTCGCAACTGTGGAATCTTGGCGGAAATTTTGCAACCTTTTTGTTTATTGTCGGTTTCAAACGCATTTTCAAAGATCTTTGTGCAAATTAATTTGATACGTTTTCGCTAAGTTTCCCATTTTGGAGGGAAAATAAGAGGCAAAGGTTTAATAGACGAAAATTTATTTTTCGGCTTCAGTTTTCTCACCTTAAGTCTAACATGGCTGGAAATCGTTGATTCTAAAATTTGGTTCTTTATTCGTTGGAGCTTAAACATATTTTTAAATAGAAGTGGAGATCTACGGGTCGAAAGGTGATATCTAAAATGTTGAGCACAAAACGGGAAAGTCCGACAAGACCCGCTAGTATACTATATACAGATATACATATATGGCTTATATGTATGTCTATCGTAATCCTCTTCTTGGGCATAAAGAGATCTCAAGTAATGAAAGAGCTCTCAATGGGAACTTCAAGAAATTAGAATATGCCAAAAAGTAAACGACGTTCAATCTAAATTCGTATTCTTCGGAAAAATGATTTTCCATTGTGAACCACTTGAAATGGAATTTTTTAAAAAAACCCATTAAATTGGCATATAAAAAACAGATCAATTTGAAATACAATTTGTGCATTAATGTTTGTTTAATAAAAATATATGAAACGTCCAGATGTGTATGCGAATCAAATAACCGAAGCGACGCATTTGCTGATTCTTAAGAGAGTGTATCAAGTGCTTTATATACCCTGTATAGGGTTAACACTATAACCCCCCCCCCCTTTCCTACCTGCCCCAAAAGGTAAACATACTAACTGGGTAATTGGGTAATTGGCGGGGTCGTCGAGCCTCAGCCTCAGCCTCAGCTGACGAACTAATTAGCACAGACACCCAAAAGAAAACAAGAACATAAAGAGAAACGAACTAGCTCTCGCTCTCTTTCGCTCTCTCTTAGTCACTCTATCATATCAACTAATCTTATCAAGATAATTTAGCATAGATACACTCACACGCACACAGCGCAGACACAAACACACGCACGCACGCATACAAAATCGTAGCGACGCGCCTCTCTTCGCCCTCTCTCGCTCTCTCGCTCAATGCATTTGCAAGGCTGCGATTGGCTCAAAGGATGCGCAGGCCACAAATGTCACACTTGCACACCCCTCCCTCGCTGGCCAGTCGCTGCCGATGCCGATGCCGCTGCCGCTGCCGCTGCCCACACCATCTTCGTTTCCCTCGCCCACAGGGCGCAGGCTCACGCCCACGCGCAGTCAACGCAATTTGCACACAAGCAGGCCGTCAGGTAGAGGCAGTCAGGTGCTCGTTGGCCCGAGCGGGGCGAGTGGCTGGCAACATGTTGCGTGCAAATGCAATGCAGGCTACATGTTGCTGGCGCAACAAATGACACAGTGTTGTAGCAGGGGCGGGGGGAGGGGGTGGCCAACAGCACGCACGCATGCGCCGCTGCTGCTAGGCTGGCAGTGCAAGCATTGAACGACGGCGCGTCGTTCGTCATCGGGCAAACATCTTGGCGACACGCGACTCAGCCGCAGCCGCAGCCGCAGCGACGACGGCGGCAGCAGCAGCAGCAGCAGCAGCAAGGCGCAGGTTTTGCAAACGGCAAACCATAGCAACAACAATAACAGCAGCAAAAGAAAATTGCAAGCGCTACGTTTGCCGCAGCCGCAGCCGCTGCTACTGCCAAAACCGCTAGCAGCAGAGACGAAGACGACGATGAGACGACGAAAGCCGAGCGCCGCACGATCAGTAAACGACGCCGACAGCAGCAAACTTTATGGCTCTCGCATTGCGCGCGCGCTCTCCCACACGCTAGACGCTCTCTCAAGCTGACGCGCGCGCGCGCTCTCTCACAAGTTTAACTGTTGTTGTTGTTGTTGTTGCTGCTGCTGTCGCCTCACCTGCGTGCCTGCCTGCCTGTCTGGCCTGCACGTTCTGTGTGCACGCGCTCTCTCACTCTTGCGCTCGCGCTCTCTGGCTGCGCGCGCTCTTTTGCGTCGCAGTCACCGTCAGCGTCGCAGTCGCGGTCGCGGTCGCTGCTGTCATCGTTTGCGCTTGTTTTAGTTTATTTATTCAACCGACCGATACCGTGTGTGGACATTATTTTCTGAAACGTTCGTAACCGCACACACACTCACACTCACACTCACACACACGCACGTCGCGTCGTCATCGTCATACACACACAAACACACACACATACACAGTCGCAGTTGAGCAAGCAGCGGCGCAGCAGCCAGAGCCCATATACACGGCGTGTGCGCCCCGTGAGCTATCTAGTAGATAAAAACTCGCCGACTCGCCGACAACAGCAACACAAGCAACAGGCAACAAGCAACATTAACAACCACAAGCAGCAACAAGCTAACTAACAACAACAACAACAACAACAACAACTTGCAACTGGCAACAGATTTTATTTTGGGGAACTTTTGTTTTATGAAAAGTCTGTGGGAAAAAGAATGAGAAATGTGCAAAAACAAGTCTTGATTAAAATTGACGAAATCTCTCAATACATTTCAATTGAAGTAAGAAACAAAAAACAAATACCAACAAAATAGTGCGCGCAACAACAACAACAACAACAGCAACAACAACAACAATCAAAAGGCAACTGAAAAAAGTTGTTTGAAAAGTTTGCAAAATTCGGGGAAACAAAAATTCAAGAAAGAAAGAAACACGCGTGTGTTATCTAATCTGCAAAACAACAACAACAACAACATCAAATATATATATATATATATGCAACAACAAACAAATAACAAATATCGGTTCGGTCGGTCGAAATAAATATATATACATCTAACAATTTTTCCTTTTTATTTTTTCTGTTTGCGAATTAGCAAAAAGTGCGTGCAACTTATTTACAATTGTTTATATATATTTTTTTTTTGTGCCTAATCAAAGCTAAACTTAACAAGAAATTGAATAATAATTAATTAAATCAACGAAATGATCAACAAACAAACGAATGTTGCCGCCACGGCCTGGGCCACGGCCACGGGCACGGTGCAGACGCTGGACAGGCCAGCGGGGGCAGCGGCAGCGGGGGCGGCAGCGGGGGCAGCGGAGGCAGCCAGCAGCACAGCTTGCAACGGCAGCAGCAACGGCAGCAACGGGAGTTGCGACTGCAACGTTAGCGGCGCCACACATCATTATCATAGAAGATTGCAACAGCTGCTGCTCGTCGCGCTGCTCCTCTGCCTCTCCAGCCTGAGCAGCTGCTGGCCCCAAGCGGTCCAGGCGCGCCGCCATGCGCCGCTCATGTTCGAGGAGGCCGACACGGCCAGGCGCTCCAATAGACCGGCAGGTAAGTGAGACGCAGACACCGCTATACACATAGATATAGCCATAGATATAGTCATAGATATAGTCGTATCTGTTGGGCTGCTGTTGTGCAAGCGCACAAATTGCGCATACGCCCCGCCCGCCGGCTGGCCATAAAAGTGGGCAACACGTTTCGAGCCCTGTTCTCTTTGGGCTTAGGGTTTTTCCGTGGCCCGGCTACCTGGCCGGCCGGCCGCTGCACTGGCTCGCACCCTTAAGCCGCCGGCGGTGTGTGTGTGTGTGTGTGTGCAACAACAATGTTGCAGCTTGGGTTTTCTATTTCTTCTGTTTTTTTATTTATGCTTGTGCTAATCCGGAATGCGGGAATTCCCTTCCGCTGCCCGGCTACCCGGCTGTCCGGACAGCCAGACATGAGGGCGACCCCAAGACAGAGATGCGGCAAGCAGCTCGCCTTTGTCTCTGCTAAGCTGCTTAGTTAGCCCAAGAGACCCAGGCCCAGTTAGAGCTCCTTTAGTTCAATTTGTTGCAACTCACACGCTTGATTAGCTGCATTTCCTGTTTCTACACCGTGAGAGAGGGGAGTGTGTGCAGTGAGGGGGAGGGGGCAGCCTGCAGTCAGTCATGCTCAGTTCTGTTCTGTATTATTTTGTTTCGTTTTTCCCTGCACGAGTTTTTCCTTTGTTTTTCCGCCCGCCCCCGTTGGCTTTTTTTTTTTTTTTTTGCCTCAGCTTGGCTTGCTTTTCCCTCATTTCAATTAAAAACAGTTTGCGGTTTTGCTAGCAACGACTTTGAGCTGTTTCTCGTCTTACAATGCGGCGCAATGTTCATGTTAATGTTCATGTTAATCTTCAGCTCTACTGCTGCCGCTCAAAGCCGCGCAATTTTTTCACCCTTTTTCAGCTTTTGTGTTCCATTCAGATTAATTCACTCTAATTTTATAAACCAACTGCTTTAATTTAAATTTAAAAGTGTTGCTTCCGTTTTATAATAATATTCCTCCAAGTTGTTCGCTTAAAATGTGCGTAACTTCTTAGTTTTTGTAGTTAGCTCGTTGAATCCTTTTGTCAACTACGTATTTTGTTGTTAGTTCGATTCCTGTAAAATCTTTTCCAAATCGCTCGTCATTTACATAAAGCCAAAACCTTAACATGAGCATAACTAGGCCATGTGTTCAGCTAACCGATTTAATCGTTTTGTAAATCATATATTTTCTCGATAATTCAGCATATATCAAATATTTCCATAATCGCACGTCGTTTACATAATGCTAATTAGTGCAAATGGGTACATTTAGGGAATGTTTAAGCTTAGCTCATTTAATTTTAATGGGCTATAGCATAATACATGATATATAACATTTTTATGGCTTGGGCTACGTTTGGGACCAAGTGAAAGACTTGGGATTGGTGTCGATTAATAGCAAATACTTCATATGTTAAGATCACATACAACTAAGTACAACAACAAGAAAAACGATCAATAGCTTATCATGTCTGCCACTGGCCAAGACACAAACCCACCCAATCCACCCACCCAATCCACCCACAGGCCACTCGAGCGAGCCGCAGCATAGCGCTAATTAAAAGCATAATATGCCATGCTATAGCTATATATAAATGTGTGCATATATAGATATGTATCTTTTTGTGTATCTGTATCTGTATCTGCATCTGTATCTGTATCTGTATCTGTATCTATGGCGTAGTATGCTGTAGTAGGCACCGCGATTGACTACAAATTCGGGCAACGGCAAATCCCACCAACATTATTTTTTTTAATGAATGAAAAGCCAACGCACAACACACACACACACACACACACACTAAATCAACCGTTCTTTTTGGCCGTATTTCTGCTTTTTGACTTGTTAAAGGTGGTCTAGGGGAAGGGTGAGGGGGACGGAGGGGGGACGCCACAAGATTGGGCTAATCAAACATCAAAAACCACGCACGTTTTCAGCAGGTGAAGCAGACAGCGCGGGCGCAACGTCAAAGGGGAGCGGGAGGGGGGGCGAACAAACTGGCCAACAACTAACTACCAATTCGTTTTGTTCATTTCGCATTTAATTTAGCTGATTAACAAGCGCTGCCGCCGCCGCGAGCTGCTTAGTCCCCCCCCCCCCTTCCCCCTTCCCGTTGAAAGACCGGGCTGCCTACGTTCGCCGGGCCAATACCCCTGCCCACACCGCCCCTCCCCTCCCTTCTACCCCCCTCTGCCCCCTCTGCCACCTTAACAAGCACAATCCACACACAGCATTCGCCATTCGTCAGCATAATTCATTTATTCAACTGTCTGCCGCCCAGTTAGGTGTTAAAAAGTTGTTAACTTATTTTTAATGAATGCGTGTAAAAGACAACAACAACAACAACAACAACGACGACGACGACGACGAAAATCAAGATGTGCCTACGTAAAGCAGCAAACGAGACGACAAACAGACAGAGCGGGCAGACAGGGGAAGGGGGGGGGGGGGGGTTGGGGGGGCAGACAGCGGGGCAGACGGAGCGACTGCTTCGTTCCGTTTGGCATCTCGGCAAACATATCCATGATCTTTTACGAAACGAACACAAGAAGATGAAAAGGCCAAAAAACGAAAAAAGAAAAGAAAATAAAGCAAAAAAGAGCTAAACAAAAACGAAACACGTTAAAACGTTAAAGCGTTAAGTCCCCGGGCCACAGTCAGAGCAACAGTCAGAGCCACGACGTCTGTCAGACGCCAAGTTTTTGCCTGGCTCTCGTTTTAGCCCCAAGTCTTAAGGTACTCGGCTTTGGTGTGCAAATATGCGACCTGGCCCTCGGCCGAGGCCCAAATGTGCAACATTTGGTTTGTGGGCGAGCTAGAAGGGATATACATATAAATGCATTTATCAAAATTGAAACAAAACAAAAGCCACAAAAATGGCTTGAAACTCACTTTCTACCTTAGTTTTGGTTTAGCTCAAAACTTCTGTTCTAGTTCTGCTCTTTAGTTCTTTCATGTGAACTAAATACACAACATAAACTAAGGCCTGACAAAATTATTAATAATATGTTAATATTTAAATTAAAATTAATATTTAATTACAAATTGCCAGATACAAAAATATTTGGTTCAGAACCAAAATTATTTTGTCTGTCAAATTTTGAAGGAAATATTTCAGGCTTCGGTTCAGGTTTGGGTTAAGTTTCTGGTTTGGGTTCAGTTTCCGGTTTGGTTTCGCGCTTAGGTTTGGGTCTTGGGTTTGGCTTCGGTTCAGGTTTGGGTTCAGTTTCTGGTTTGGGTTCAGTTTCCGGTTTGGTTTCGTGCTTGGGCTTGGGTCTTGGGTTTGGCTTCGGTTCAGGTTTGGGTTCAGTTTCTGGTTTGGGTTCAGTTTCCGGTTTGGTTTCGTGCTTGGGTTTGGGTCTTGGGTTTCGTGCTCGGGCAATTGATTTTCATACATTTATTTGTTGGTTTCCGATTCGTTTTCAAGTTAGTTTTGAGCATAAAAATTGGGTAATTAATAATTTTATTTTGTCTTTGGCCTATGCTAATATTTATTTTATGTTGATTCACGTTAAATTGTTAGTTGATTTAGTTTTAAACGCTTTTCTTTTTGTGCTTTCCCTTGGAACTTAAACTTCGAATTGATCTGCGATTACCTTGTATTCTGTAACATTTATAAATTGCCTTGGCTAAACACAGTTCGGACTGTTTCAGGGCTTAAAAATATTGAAAAAATGCAAACAATTAACATTAAATTAAATAAAGGAGCCACTTTGAACTTTTTGCTTCGTTTTGGACTTAATTTCTGTTACTTAAAAAGTTGTTAGCCAAAAAGAGGCGGGTTAAATGCAAGTTAGAGTGTTTTTGAGCTTCGGCTTTGCTTGACAGTTTTCTTGCTTTCTTCATGTGTTTTTGTTTTTTTTTTTGGGTCTCTGTCGACGTCGACGCTGACGTCAGTGTCAGTTGCATGTCAGGCAGTCGAAAACGAAATGCAACCAATTTGTTGCCGGTTGCTGCAATGCTTGCAACAACAGCAACAACAACAGCAACACAACAACCGATTGCAGCCTTTTTTGGCTTGGAGACGAGGCGTCGCCAGCGTCGTCGCAATCGCCAAATCGCCAAATCGCCGCCAACCGCTCGCGAGTCGCTGGAGTCGCTGGAGTCGCTGGAGTCGAGAGTCGCGTGTGGGCAGAGGAAGCACTTAATGCCCACAAGGTGTCAAATTGCAGCAGAGAGTTTCGAGTTGGAGTTCGAATGCGCCGGCTTCAACTTGAATTCGAGTTTGGGCTGCCTGCGGCTCGCCCACCCAGCTATAGCTAGAAAAAAGCCAAATGCCGTGTCGCTCTCCCTGCCTGCCTGTCTGTCTGTCTGTGTGCGTGCGCGTGTGTGTGTGTGTATGTTAATTAATTTGGCTCTTTTTTTATATTTCGGCTGCAGCGTAGGCAAATAAGATACAGATACGCTTCACAGATTCGTGGGCTGCTACAGTTTTTTATTTAGCTTCTTTTTTTTTTTTTCGCTGTCGCATTTCCGTTCCACAGAGACCGAGTGAGAGGGAGAGTGAAAGGGAAGAGGAAGTGGGGCTAGCTAGCTGTTTTGGCTAGAATTTGGCTGCTTCTGGTTTGAACTGGGCTCAAGCCAAATTCCGCTTTATTGCCGCCATTCGATATGCCTTTCATTAGCACAAGCTCTGTTCGCTAGCTAGAAAAGCCGGCAGCTGGCAATATATGCCAAACTTTGCCATTTGCCATTTGGCATTTCGCATTTGGCATTGCTGTCATGCACTTCACTTATCAATGCACAATCAGCGCCAGCCCCGCCCCGCACCGCCCTGCACCGCCGCGTCACCCGCCTTTAGCCATTAAATGGCTTTGTGGTTCGCGCATCATCAAAATTGTGCATCGCTGATAGGCGGAAGCGGACCGCCTGCCCAGTTTCTGTGATGTGTTTGTGCAACTGTTCCCATTCGCAGTTGCCCAAGCCAAAGCCAGAGCCAAATTCGAATAGCATATTTTCATTGCCATTAAATTGCAAGCGAAAATCTTTAATTGAAATGC